GATCAGTTCGAAGGCCATTATCGAAATCCGGCATACGTCATCGCCGAAAATCACCCTCGCCCCGTCCACTGTGTCTGCGTCTGTAGGAGGTACTGTATCGTTTCCCTGCAAAGCTGTTGGAGAGCCGAAACCGAGAATAACTTGGTCGTTTAATGGCATGGCCATCCCGACGGTCGTCGGCCACTATGAAGTGAGTTCCCAAAATACGCTATATGTCAATCTGGTGACCAAAGCCGACGCTGGACATTATATGTGTCAAGCGACCAACGACGTAGGAAGCGTCAGCGCCGATGCGACTCTGTACGTACTTGACGACGTTGGCGAACGACAATCACCAGCGATCGTTGACCGGGATTTTATCCACAGCGCTGTTCGCCAGGCTACCCAAAACGTAGACCGGGCAATCAACTTTACACAGGAGCAGCTTTACAGCGACAAACCGAAGACCCCAGCTGAACTGATGGCTTTGTTCAAGTATCCGGGGCCGCAGGCAATCCAGTTCGCTAGAGCCAGGGACATATACGACGAAACCCTAAGGTAAAATTCAGACTGAAGTACGTTTACTACTTTGAGGGTGAACTCGCAGACATTCGCAGGTGGATAATTTGCGTCAGAGATGAAGAGTGCAGCCAATTTGTTTATTTACAATTTTAGACTTTCGTTTGCAAAACTGAATCAGTTATGAGCAAAAACATCTGATGTCTATGTTAAGGGATGAACAGGGTGCCTATTGCGTAGGTTTGTCTGTTTTGTTTCTTGCAAGACTGGTCAAGAGTCGTTTTTGAGTTAGTGTTTCATTGCGCGCGAAGGTTGTTCATTTGCGATATGATTGGTTCTCAAAAGTCGAAGCACACTTCTTATATGAACAGTGTAATAAACTAGTTACCTCTCTGACCAATCGGCTAGATTAATATGCACTAAACATTGTCGGTAATACTGAAGTCGTGGCGAATACCAATATAAATAAAGTACTAAGGGTACCTTGGGTGTGTCAAATTATGCATGGTTCGTGTCGTAACTGCCCATCAGACGTCAGAAACTCTTAGCAGTTTATCATATGAAGGCGTCGTGCAGGTGATTAGTTGAGGGGCGCTTTTCTAGGCGCAGAAAATAAGCAAACTGGGGTGCCTCACGTCTCCAGTAACTGCTGACTTCTCAGGTCGTAACAGGGTGATAGCGTTAAAGCGCGATGTCACTTGAGCTGAAAATCACATGGTCGGTCAAGGTTATGAGCAGACCAACAAGGACGGTTTAAAAGTCTAGCTTTGCCTCGATTTTCCTCCGTAATGAACGATACATTCTAGAGATGTCCAAACTCTTCTCTTCGAGATATAATTCTCTACTTAGTTATTTATGCTGTGAAAATAATGACATGGTTCCCTTCTCGGTCACATTGCCTCGAGTCACCTTAACTGACGGTTTTTAGCTTCAGTTGAAACAACCATCTCTACGCCAGACAATCGACATTTTTGAGGTTAAAATAAAATATTTTAAATTAAATTGATCAGGAGTCAATTTTGCAAAATTTTAGATAAGCTGCAGACGATGTTTAGGCCAGGGTCGGTTTATTGTATGCAAGTTGTTTCATCGCCTCCTACGGTAGAACAATAATACTTTAGCCTTCTCGCTTGAGCATCTCTTTCTCCTCTTCTAGAGTTTTGTTTTCACTCCTTACTTACATGTTTACCTTTCTGATTGCTCTTTTCATTCATCATTATTTCTTGAACCATCACCCAATGTAATGTGACCTGCAACCACTTCGCGCAAGTAGAAAATTCGATGATATCGTAAACGTACACGGAGCAGTAAGACGTTCAAATGAACGCTGCAAATTATTGTTGAAAATGAAGTTGAAAATATTGCTTAAGAGGGAGGGTAATTAAACATCTTTTTGCCTGATTCTGAAGACATAGAGGAGCCTTTCGAGCACATCCGTTTCTCATTTCAGTCCTTTTCAGGTTTTCTGAAATGTTCCGGAGCAGCTAGCCTCTGTTATCGACAGAACTAAAATTTGTTGACGCAGAAATCCTAACGTAGACAGCAACCGACAGTTAATCATTCACCTTCGCATTGTAGATAAGGCTATTTAATGTATTCAACCAGAAGTCTTCAATGATACGGAATATTTAAGGTGGTGGCACTCCCATATTATTTTTTACAATTAAATGACTCAAAGAGGTTCCATATTCAATGAACATACCTTACCAGCGAATTGCAAAGCTCTTTCTAATAATTTGAATTTGGGTGGTTTGTGTTTTTTTATTTGAATCAGTCAATTATTATTTGCGTTTCTCTGTCCTATGAGATTATTTAAAGGAGAGCAATTAAAAGCTGACAATGGCTAAGAAGCACAACGAATGGCTAAAACTCATATGACCTCATCGCTTATACTCTAAGAATAATCTTCCTTTTCAGTCCTGCAGTAGTTTTCTCGTGGCTCAGGTGAGCCTGAACCACAATATTTGTTCTTTCTGAGAAACTAGGATATAGATGTCTCTAAATGAAATAAATCTGCTGGCAGGTACAAATTAATTCGTTGAACGGAAACTCTTACATTCGAGAATGAGCGACCAATTTGACGTTGTTTTATTCAATTATTTCGGCATGTAGTGGTCTTTGTTTGAGGTCTCTCAGATGGTGTAACAAGCCAGAAATATTTATCTGTTCCGATCAAAGTATTGAAATGCTAATCCCAGAGAACACGATGCAGTTCGCACATGACAGCCCTTCCAAAAATTACATTCAAAGGCAAGTGTACTTCACGTCGATTCGAACAGAAGCGATTGGCGCAAAAGGGTCGAGAAATAGATGGATTGTGTGCTGAAAGTGGCAGTTCGCCTGTCTTGAGTATAAGGTATTTAAGAAATTCCCTTTCGTAGCAACTCTTAAGGTCGCTATGGAAATTTTCCCTAAACTAAGCAAACCTCAACAGTAAAAAGTAGTAAGTTCGTTCAAAATGGTAGCTGTTACTGTGCATCAAATGACATTTGGGGTAGTCACCTCCCAGTTTCCTTTGAATAAGCCAGCGTTCTAGAGAAAAATTTTTAAAATTCATATCGTCAAACGATTATGACAGCATCTACGATTATCAGCTTTATGCCAAACTGTAAAGCATAAAGCTATTTTCAAATAAAGCATGTCTAAATCACCTGAGGGTGGTTGTCTAATTTATCAGTTACTCAAGTGTTAAACCACACTTTTCTGATCATGACCCTAAATACAATCATTTTATTGATCTGACGATTCAAATAGTCCATGTATGTTGTTTTAGTTGCCTATTAAATAGGTCTGATAATCGAGTTTATTGTATTTATACTTGTTAATATTTTAGTAATCTTTCCTAATGCCCCAATTTCGTTGTGTAATTGTGCGTTTTCGTTCATTTTTGCTCAATGTTTACTCTGTTAAAGACTTTCTTATGCCCCCTACGAACATCCCCACAAGCTGAGGTTTCGGAATCTCTGGATTAAACCCGTGAAATTAAGCGAATCAGAATCGGAACAAAGGCTGCTTGAAAATTTTTAAAAATTAATTCTTAGAAATGAGATATAGGACTGCATTAAATGGAGCTCAGCATACCTTAAAAGCACAGCCGATTATATGAAAAATGTCAGATTTCGGTATCTATCTTTTATAATGAGTAAACACCTCCTTTGCTCAGAGAAAACACGAGAACAACGCAAATTTTATGTCTCGATGATTCAAATATGATGACTTACTAGGTTGAGATTAAGAATCGTACAACTAATTATTGAAACAGGTAATAAGGTCTCTAAATTCACTTAAATGACTTAATTTTTGGTTTCAGCCTGGTTCAGGCGCATGTCGTACGTGGTTTGCGGTTTAACGTATCAGGCAGCTACAAGTACGATGACATTCTGTCCCCGGCTCATGTGTTGATGATCTCAGAGCTAAGCGGCTGCGATGTGCCAAGGGAAAGACCAACGTGCAGCGACATATGTTTTCACTCAAAATTCCGCACCTACGATGGAACGTGCAACAACCTGCAGGACACAACCCGAGGAGCGAGTTTGACGGCCTTGAAGCGCCTTTTGCCACCTGCCTATGAGAATGGCTTCGACATGCCGATCGGCTGGAACAAGGACTTTCTGTATCACGGCTTTAAAAAGCCCAACCCTCGTGTCGTATCTATGAGCGTCGTGGCCAGCGAGCGCATCACCGACGACTCGCAGTACAGCCATATGCTCATGCAGTGGGGTCAATTCATTGACCACGATCTGTCGTTCACCGTCCAGTCGCCAAGCGTCAGCCAGTACCAAGGTGGAGTCAACTGCGCTCGCACCTGCACAAACCGACCTCCGTGCTTCAACATAGACATCCCGCGAAATGACCCCCGCATCCATGACGGCATTTGCATTGAGTTCCAACGATCGAGCGCCATCTGCGGTTCAGGCACTTCCTCTGTTATTTACAACCATATTCAACAGCGACAACAGGTCAATCAGATCACTGCGTATATCGACGCATCGAGTGTCTACGGCAGCCACGAGGCAGACGCCTTGGACTTGCGAGACCTTTTCTCTGATCATGGTCTTATGAAATTCGACATCACCAGCCATAAACAGAAACCGTACCTACCATTCAACAGGTATTATAATAATAATCTACAGTTAAAGAGACTAAAAGTTAGCGCTGCTTGCCATAAACTGTATGGTCATGCAGATTATTGTGATTTGTAGACATTCACTTTTTCAAAATCATCAGTGTTTAGTACTACATACGAAGAGTACTCACTGACTTTCCCAGCAACATATAACTCGACGTATACGATTGACATGTGTATAAATCTCAGTTTAAAAAAGCTTTTAGAGATTTCAGTACTAAATTATTGGATTAGCGTTTCTGGTTCCCAAAAATAACCGCTATCATCGCTAATCTACGGAATTATGTACTCCATAACTATTATTTGCGATATGGATCATGAAACAGCGGCGTGGACCGATATTAAACGAAATTTGATTTCGAGAATGGAAGCTATAGCAGACACTTAGCTAAAATTTATCGAACCTTTGAAAAAGCCACGTTCACCTTTCCTCTCACCTCACTTAATTATTACTGAAATAGATAAGCAAATAAAAAAATTGTCATTTTTATTTCATAGACTCTAATACGTGAAAGTAGCGACTAAATTGACATGTCCATATCAAGGTAAACCTGCCAGTAACTGTTGAATTAGAAAACTTTTCCCTTCTGAACAGAAGTACACACAGATCAATGTATGTGCCATAATGCCCAATCGTTGTATTTGGTGAGTCATTCACACGGTGTGCCACAATGATAAAGAACCCTTCATAGCTTTCCATTGATGATATTTCGAATCACAGTAAAGGCTCAATAAATTGACTATTTATTACATTAAATTCAATGAATAATCTTTAGATGATTAAAAACATGATTGTTTCTTTTTTCCATATGTTTTAATTTGCATATCTAAGGTCAATCCTAATTTTTACTTCCAGAACCTCGAACCTCCGTGATAGGAGGCAGCAAAAGATTTCTTGCTTTCATTAGAGTACATAAGCTTTTGATGGTTCAACCCGGCTACGAAAGCTTAAAAATTTACCTGGCTAAGTGGAAGAGGGAACACTCGACAATCCAGCTGGCCGGCATCGCGAGTTATGGCTAAATTCGCTATGATGAAATCATATCTGAAAACACAACTGTCATTCCCCGGAGGCGTTTTGTCAACTTCGATGGCAGCAGCTAGTCAGGTATGAAAACAGAGGGTAGTATGTATAACTGGTTACGGATTGGAGTTGCTACCGTGGACTAACGTGGGCAACGTATAACTGCAGATCAAGTTTAGTACAATCAAGGTTTCAACATCCAGAGGAAGAACTGAGCAAAATCGGACGGGTTACGGTCTGGTTCAGTCAAGAGGAGCTGTTGGAATTTAGAAATGAATACCTCACAATACCTCCTTTCTTACAGAAGATCAGCAAATGGAAGAGCATGGAAAAAATGGTTCACTATCCATTGAAGATTGAAGAACAGTGCAGTGTAAGTGTAAGTGCACGACATGTCAGGGAGGTGTGCAAAAGGGTCCTTTTGAAAGAAATGTGATTTCCCGGTGAAAGAAGTGTGTGCGCGGACATCGAATCGGAGTCCTGATCAAAAAGATTGAAGATTGTTATAAAGAAATGGAAGAATTGTATAAACAGCGAAAGGGAGCCATTACAATTTCATCATTAGAAAAGAAGTCAATTCCATAGGCGTCAATTTCGAAACGACAAAAGAACGACTCGGGTGATTGCCTAATGGAATTTTCTACGAACAACGCATTACTTATCATGAACACGTTGTTCCAGTAAAGGGTGAGAGGAACCTGGACATTGGAGCATCCAAATGACATCGTGAATGAAACTGGTTATGTAATTCCTCAATAACACAAGGAATGCGGTGAATGATATTACTGTACCGAACAGATTCAATGCAAGAGGCGTCCACAGCTCATTCGATGTCATCTGCGTCTGAAGCGAGTCGTAGAAAGCAGGAAGCTGCTCAGGAGAGTACACAACGCACTCGACGTATGCACGCTCAAGAAGAATCTCCACTTTCTGCTATTGAAATTATGCAATCGTTCATGGCGAGGCGCATGAAGAAAAAAACACCACTGGAAGGTAAAGCAATGCATCAGCATACAGCCAATGCAGTTGCAGGCAAGGCGCAAAGCATCTCTGAAGCGAAGTCTCAAAATTCATGAAAAAAATCAGTGAACACAAAAAAAATGGAGAGATGTAGACAAGAAGAAATGAAAACAGCCACCAGTCATAAGTCAAACTTCGAATACGTGCAACTTTGCCAAACGCTGCGAAAACTGATTAACTGAGACCTCTACACCTTCAACTTCAGACAAAAAGGAAACCAATGGCAGGAAGAAAAACAAATCAATGATGGGCGGTCGGTGAACAACTAATTATGGTTGTCGAAGCATAGGACCGAACTGTCGTTAGGATCAGATGAAGCATCCTGAAGAGAACGGAAGATTTCTGTAGTCTATACAAAGATGAAAACAACAGCTACCTGGGAATTGAGGAAACAAATGAGGTGGACAAGATTCCAGATGTTTTGCCGATAGTATTGCGACGTGTAATAAAACATGCGAAGAGAGGAAGGTTTCCTGTTATACACCGCAGTACTGAAGAATTTGTGCAATCCGGAGGTAGAACATTGATCAAATTATTAGTGCACTTGTTTTACGTCGTTTGAATGAAATGAGTATTCCAAACCACTGGCCTGCTGCAATGGTGATTGTACTACACAGAAAGAACATAAGGAGGATCAGAAGAACTAGATGGCAGTCAGTTTGTCGTCGATTATTTACAAGAACTTCACAAAGGAACTGACCAACATCAGGGTCAAGAAACATCAGACTATGCCCAGCCAAAGGAGGTAGTAGGTTTCAGGAGTGGCTTCGATAAGGAAAATAATCTACTATTGGTTAAAGAAGTGATTCAAACAAGTGACGAATTTTAACTTCCTCTCAGCTTAGAACGCGTCGGTTTTAAGAAGGCTTTCGACTCAGTCTGCACCTGGTTCTGTATTGGATTCTTCGAGAAGCAAGAGAATCGAGAAAGATTCAGAAACCTTAGCGCTATGAAGAATTGAACTGCTGGTGAAGATGCATGATATCACAAAAAATTCATAATCGAAGACGACATCAAACAGGATGATGAGGCACCATTGCACGAGGGAAGACGTTGAAACGGCAATGGACAAAATACCCTGCAAGTAAAGCCGATATTGTTGGACTAATGACACATTGGACTGGGTTTTAAGAGATGATAAACAACCAAAAGGAAATTCTCCAGATTGATTACAGGATGAGCTGAAGAGGTTTATTAAAGCACCATGGGTAAAAAATGCAAGAGAGTTGTGTGGCAAAATTTTGGCGAAGCCTTTATTAAACGCTGGATTGATAGAATCTGGTGATCATGATGTCTATAATGGCTAAGTTGTGACCAACTTGGAAAAAAAATAACGCAACAACATTCAACATCGTTTTTCATAACAATAATTAAAACTTCAATCATGATTCAATGTAAAAGTTCTATCATCATATTGGAGGAATCCAGCGTGCTGCGTATCTTTTCCTTAGCTAGGATAAATATAAATAGCTGTTCTGGAATCTTTCGATTTGGTTTGGACTTCGAGTAGAACTCTCACAAACGAATTTGTCAAGAAAGTCAAGAAAGTCATTATATCGTTACCTTAGCTCACCTTTGAAACCGGGTCGCTTAGTCAGAAGTACTTTGGACTCGCAGTCATAAAGTCCTGGCTTCCACTATAGTCCGGCTCATCACCTTAGTTTGGTCCTTTCAATGCATATACGAAGCTGATGGGACGGAGAAATGAGATTGTATACTATATCAATCAAGAGACTAATATGCATGACACAGTGTCATTAAAACGAAGCCATTACTTGCTTATAACGTTAAAATTAAAATTTTCGCTGCACAATAAGTTCAGTGACGGAAGGGTCGCATCTATGTCCACCGTGATAGTGTAAAGGAGACCGACATCTTAACGTCTAGGAACTTCTCTCTATTTAAACTAAATAACCATTTTAATTCGGTAGCAGCAGAAACAACTACTTCACGGTATTTCAACCTTTCCTCCCTACTCGTTATTCTCTTTTCCTTACATTAGTGATGGGTCGGCTTTAAAAGGGGTTAATTTTATCCATCAGAAGGTGAGTAATTATTGCGAGATTGTGCCTCTTTGAAGAGGAAATACGCCACACAAATGTATAATTAGTGAAATTATCTTTGGCAGAGAAACATAATATGGCTTTAGACTGACAAAGAAGAGGATTAATTTAGTTAGACTGGTGACTGCTTATACTTTGCACGACTAATCTAGGCTATTTTTTTGCCAGTTTTTGAGAAATGGCACTTTTACTCTAAGAATGTATTATGTTGTTTCAGACGTTTCCCGATGGACTGTCACCGGAATACAACGCTAAGACATTCTGTCAGATGCATGATGGGCGGAGACTACCGAGCCAATGAACAGGTCGGTCTGCTAACAATGCATACGCTGTTCCTTCGAGAGCATAATCGTATCGCTTCGGAGTTACTCAAGATAAACCCGCACTGGAACGGAGAGCGATTGTACCAGGAGACGCGCAAGATCATTGGTGCAGAGTTCCAACACATAACGTATGCCCATTGGCTGCCGAAAATATTAGGTGAACGAGTCATTAACATGTTATTTACAGTAATTCTAGTACATTAAGTACTTAGTTTAGGTCCAGAAGGTATGCGATTGCTCGGCGACTACAACGGCTATGATCCAAACGCAGATAGTGGTGTCTACAACGAGTTTGCGACCGCAGCGTTTCGGTTTGGCCATTCTCTGATTCAGCCATTCATCACCCGTTTGAATGCCTCATTCATGCCCCATGAAAATGGCCCCCTTCCGCTCAGGGAGGCATTCTTTGCACCGGAAAGAATGCTAGAAGAAGGTGGTTTGGACCCGGTTTTGCGTGGTTTGATTGGAAGTCCCTCCAAGCTGCTGAAACAGGATCAATTTTTGAACAAGGAACTA